CTCTCTTTAATCAAAAAGCTGGGAATAAAGAGATCCAAGCTAAATGTCCTCAGTGGCAGCTCTCTGTGCTGTAACTAACCCTGTCTCAGCTCTGCAGCTGGATCTGAGTGCCTTTGGCTCTCCGAAGAGTTTAATTCCAGCATTTCACGGCTGAGGTCAGGAACCGGAGTCCCGGTTGCTTGCATCAGTTTTGGAACAAGCTGTGGCATCCATAAAAATAACCCTCGGAGCAGTGCCCTGTACTTCCTTCAAAATCCATCCTCCAGAGACCGGGAAACACTTTATCTGGCTGTTAAAAGCTTTAATCTACAAAACTCAGAAATTACTTTATTTACATGAGTGGATACAGAGAATAAGCACTTTGTTCAAGGTCACAGACGGAAAAAGGGCCAAGAGGAGCATTAGAAAACAAACCCTCTGCATTGCTCGTCCTCAGCACAAGCTACACACCCTAAAAAAAAAAGGATTATTTTCATTTTTCTTCAGTTTTACGGGGCTTAGAGCTAATTAAGTAAAATGCAAACAACCTCGAGGTCAGAAATCTTTCTGCCTGCCACCAGCACAAAGGTAGTTTTCTTCTGGAATTTTTTTGCTTCATTATCTTCCTTATTGTCCAATAATTCAGCAAGTCTAAGCAGCGCAGCTTCCTGACAGGCTCCTGCTAATGTGGCCACAGGACCTCTGGCAGATGCAGGGTGGGAAGCACTCAGAGCCAGGCCAGGGTTAGAAACAGCCAGGAATTTTTCCTTTTGGATGTCCAATGTAGGATAACTCAGGAGCACTCTGAAAAGGCTCATTACTGGTTTTTTTGGAGCTAAGGAATTATTGGGATCACCTCATCACTCCTCCTTCCCCCCTAGAGGTTAATCTGGTCATTTCTCCCACTTTGCCATTTTTTTAGGATATAGAGGACCACTGGCTTTTTCAACATCTTTGTCCATGTCCAGGATGGCAGCACTCAGCTGTGTAGGTCCCAAAACCCAAAGAGAATCCATAGGGAAGCAGTGCTGCATTTTGCCCAAGTACTGACATTAATTCTGTCGCTGCTTTCCTTGATTTTGGGCTTGGTAGCCTTAATCACAGACTATTTTCAACTTCATTTTCTTCATTCATTTAGTACAGTGTAGGAGGACAGAGAAGGAAATCCAAACAAAATTTCCCATCCCCACCTCAAATCCAAATCAACCTCCACCTTTCCCATCCCCCAAAAAATCAGAAAACATATTACAGAAAACCAGAACTCAACATGCCTGGTTACTCTTCCAAAGCTAGATGGAAATATTCTGAAAATTAAGGTTACACAGCAATGCAATGCAGAGAAAGTGCCCCTGGCAGGAAAGGAAACAATGAAGACAAAGACATATTTCTCTGTACATGGAATTTGTTTTTCATGTAGGGATCTCACAGTGTGGTACCAAAACTCATCCATCAGCTCCACTACACCCTACCAATCCTACCTGCAACTTCTGTGCTCCAAGACCTGGACCAGCAAGACTGGAAACTGAAAATTACCTTCCAAATGTAAGGTTTAAATGTATTTTAAAATAACAATTCTGTGTGTCCAGTACTGCACTGCCACAGGACACCAATAACCTACACTGTGCTCATTCACAGCTGGGCTGGAAACACACAGCTCCCATGGAATTCAGTAATTATATTGTGATTTTCATCTGATGAGAAGACTATAATTTTGGGGTTTGATTTGCTTTTTGTTTTCCAAAAAAATTTAACATCATAGTCTGAATTCAGAAAAAAACCTGTAGGTTTTGTTTCTTCCTCTGTCCTTAATTAAATGTCTTTTTTTTACACTATAAATTAACTTTGGAAGCAGTTTACATATACAGAAGAACTATCTATTCAGTCAGGGAATAATGTATTTATTTGCAAAGGCATCAGAAAGGCAGAGAACCACATTTCCAAGAAAACAAAAACAGACTTAAACTCTTCCCCAAAAATATGCACATACATTTACAGCACTATCTATCTCCAATACATCTAAAAGAACCATTCCCTTAAACTCTTCTCCAGCTGAAATTTGTTTTCATTCAGAAAGTAATTTATTTTAAAAAAAAGAGTTTCATGACTTGAAGCAATGAAATTTATTTAATGTATAAACCCTTTCTACACAGTTCCTTCCCAAATTATGTGCAAAAAGACTCTAACAGAGAAGGTAAAGTTTGTTGCACAAATTAGAGTCAACATTTCTAAAGGAAATAATGAGTTTTACTTTACTTTTCCCCTAATGATCTTTCCCCAAAAGCTGTTCAGACTACAAAAACAGACCTAGACAACCCATTAGTGCCAAATGCTGGCATTTCCTTCATAGTTCCTGGAAAATGAAGCCATCTTCACTTAGGATAGAAACAACACACATCATCAGCCTGTGCAAGCCAAGGTAGGAAGAGCCTTCATTTAAATATCTGGAAATGAATGGATTGGGAAAAGAAAGAAAAAAAGAGGTTTGGGGAACATAAAACTCCCATGTTTTCAAATTCATTTAAATGCTATCACAGCTGTTGATGCATTTTAGTCCATGCAACAGGTACCAGGAGATAAAATGGAATGAAAAAATAAACCATACTGTTCTAAACCCCTTTAACAGTACAAACCCTCTTGCCAGTGCCATTTACTGTGAGCATTAATTAGCCATGCAGTGCCAAAAGAAAATAACCAGTGGAAATCAATAATATGCACATTAAAAAAGAACAAAAGTAACCTTAGATTAATGGCAATTAATTTGATATTGCCAACAGAGCTCTAATTCCCTACACAAAGCCAGAATTAACTGCAGTTCTCCTACTGCCCACCTGGAAGCAGGTGGGAAGGGCAGGCAGAAGATGCCATCCCTGAGATCTTCTGAGCACCTCAGCAACCCTATGAAGGATCCAGGGAAGCTGTGGCAGATGTGGAAGGGCAATTCCTTACTGCCCTCAGCAACCGGCTCTGTGACAAGAAGCCCAGGCCCAACAGTGGTGGAAGAAAACAGCAGCAATGGGCTCTAAGCCTCTCCTGTGAGGAGCAAATTTCACCCTTCAAGTGAAAGGTAGAGTTGGGGGCTTATAATTAAAGAAGGAAAACTGGAAAAATTCCACTGAAAAACTGGTTACTGCAGCTTTTTACTTGAAAACTGTTGGCTTTTTTCCAGGCTCAAGTCCCAAATTTGTGACATGCTTATGTACCAAACTTGACAATTTAACACACCAGCCCAAAGTGGGTCTTTCAGGTTTAACAAATCACTGAAGAAGGTTGGAACCAGCCACAAATCATAAGAAACAGAGCATGAAAGCCTCTTCTGCTGCTCTCTGGAGGTTCTCACCATGCTGTGTCACCTTTTGCCTTTAGGAGATACACTCAGAGCTAATGAGACAGAAGCAAAGGTCATCTTTCCCAGGACAGGACTTCTTAAGGACTGGTCCTGTCTGTCAAACCTTTCTGCAGAATACCTGCACAGGATTAGTTGTTCCTGTCCTGTGTACTCAGCCACTGTGCCACAAGAAACACGTGCTCACTGCTCTGAGAAATGCCATCCTTTTAGAAATGGCACCTTTTAAAGTCTTCCATTGAAGATTTATTAATGCACCCAGTGAAAAGTGGCTGCACTTCAGGACTTCCTCATCTCCTGATTTTTCATCCCACCCTTTCAGCACACTGCTCCTGTGCCTGTCCCTTTTCCAGGGCCCAGTTCTAAAGGCAGTTTCCCAAAAGCTGTGATTTAAAGTGGCTAAACAATGCGCAATTCCAAACCAATGCTTGAGTATTTTTTTAAAAATGATGCCTTATACTGACCTATATTTGACTTTTGAGTGGAGTTACAGGGACGCTGTAACCAGAACAAAAAAGTTCAATGCTCCATAGCAAATATTAACACATCATGTAGCATTTGTGTGATAATTAAAGAATTAAGTAAAGAATACAAGATGAGAAGTAACTGATTAACAGTTTTGTGATAATTGTGTACACTGAATTAAACTGGCTTATCACTTCTGTCTGTTGAAATACTAATGTCCTTCACACAGTGGCATTATCATGTACAGATCCAGCAGAAAAGGCAGTGTTCCATGGATAATATTCCCAGTGTTATCCCCCACCCTTTGAAACACTTGTACTCCGTCAGACAATGATCTGGGAGCATTAATAGGGGAGGCTCACAGTTTACAGCTCTAAAGGGTGCACTTCCTGCAGCTCAGATACTGCAAATCTGACCAATTCCAACAACGTGCAGGGTTTCCCTTCTTTAAATGTCCATTTTCAGAAAATTAATAACCCCCAGCACTGCAGATAAGTGCAATGAAGAAAATAACTGCAAGATTTATTGGCAGTGTTTCAGGACACTTCCCTGACTTCATGCACCAGCTTGAGATCTCCCAACTAAGCTGAAGAACATCTACCCTGCAGACCTTCAGCTACTGACCCAGGAATAATGAGTCTTACCCTTGGAAAACTAGGGGCATTAATCATTTATCTTTATGAATACATCCCTCTCCACCACAATGTGCACATGAAGCTAGTATTTCCAGACAGTTCAACAGAGAGTATTTCAGTTTCCTGCTAAGGACAAAATGCCAAACCCTTCTCTCAGGCTTTCTGCAATCCAGGCATGAATATGATGGGAAGGAAATGCAAACTGTCAGATCCATTCCTTCAAACTCAGCAAATATTCATGGCAGATGCAGCCATTAAGGATCACTGATATTTTTTTAACCTTTTCCATTGCAGCACTCAGTGAACACAAGTTTTTCCACACTCTCCAGTGTGTACTTACCCTTAGTTCCATTTCTTTGCCAAGTAAGTCATACAGAACTGCTCCTTTGGAGGTGATTTCAGAAGCAAGCTGTCTAGCTGCCTTCAGGTCAGCAACCTGGGAACACAACAACACCACTGGATAGCAAGAGAATTCCCAGTATCACAAAGAAAATCCACAACATTTACCAA